ACCTTTTCTTCCCGCTTCCGGTTGAAAAGGTTGAGGTCGGGGTTGAGAGTTCGCCTCACGTTATTGGCCAGTTTCTCGATCACGTGACGTTCATGTTGTGACGTCAGAAGGGCATGAAGTTCACGATGTTGTTGTAGTTGCAGTTGGTGTTGTAGGCGTCTGTTCATATTTTGTGTTCGTTGTGTTTGTGGTATTTGTTGTTTGTTTGCTGTTTGTTCGTTGTGTTTGTGTTTGCTTGCTTGCTGAATTTGTTACTTGCCATGAAATGTTTTATGATGTTTTCATGTTTGTCAGTACGATACTACCACTGAAACTACTACTACAACAGAAACTATGGTTGCCATAACTTTCACATTTATATTTGCACTACTATATGTTATAACATTACTACTGCTGCTGCTACTGCTACGGCTACTACTACTACTTATACGACGACTACTTCTGCTATTGCTACTACTACTACTACTACTACTACTTACTTCTTTTCTCGTCTACCACTTCCGGAATCTCTGAAGCCCTTCGCGAACGGATTGTTGTCAATCTTCAATTGAGTTATCTGTTCGTCGTATGAATGTATGTACGTACGTGTGTGCGTGTTTATATGTGTGTGTAGTGTTTATATGTATGTGTGTATACATTATGTGTGTATGTATGTGTGTCTATGTGTGTATGTATTTATGTATGTATGTATGTATGTATGTATGTATTCTGGTAAACCTTGTTGCATGAAAATTTTGTTTTGTTTTGTTGCGTATGTACAAGTCCCTACAGACATGTTCACAAAAAAAAAAAACAACATACCTGTTCATACATATTGTGTTGGCGTATTAATACATGCAAATGTAAACATAGACAAATAAATGATTAGAAAGCAAAGAACAATAAATTCTTTCCGTCATTTGGAAAGCAATTTTTAGGCAAACAAGCAATATCAAATGGAAAAAATTTACGCGCCTAAAATAGATCCCTGTTATCAGATCGTAGTAAGAGTGGTAGTAGTTGTTGTTGTTGTAGTAGTTAATAGTAGTAGTAGTAGTAGCAATAGTAGTAGTAGTACTAGTAGTAGTAGTAGTAGTAGTAGTAGTAGTAGTAGTAGTAGTAGTAGTAGTAGTAGTAGTAGTAGTAGTAGTAGTAGTGGTAGTAGTAGTAGTAGTAGTAGTAGTAGTGGTGGTAGTAGTAGTAGTAATAGTAGTAGTAGTAATAGCAATAGCGTAAGCAGTAGTAGTAGTTAAAATAGTAAGCATAAAACATGCATACAAAAGAATTAAGCAAATGCATAGAGAGCAAAACATTGGCGTGTGTATAAATTGTATACTATTTTTATATAATGTACACATTTTTATGTATATTTTGTATGTAAATGTGTATGTATGTGTGTGTGTCTGCATTTGTGTGTGTGTGTATGTGCCTGCGTTTGTGTGTGTACGCTTATTAGACTCATATATATGCATGTATGCGTGGTTATGGTTTGAGGACATGACGTCAAAGGTATTGTTTACTCATTTGTATTCACTTGCCCGGACTAATAACATGGATGTATGCATGTTTGTTTGTGCGTGCGTGCGTGTATATATGTACGTACGTACGTGCGTGCGTTTGTGTGCGTGTATGTACTGCATCTTCTCATCGTTCTTGGTGCTGTAAGAGGCTAGCGTGTTGGCATGTTTTTGTGTGGTTGTATTTGATGTATTTATGGTGAAATATATTTCACCATAATTTATCCTCCGTATAATGTCATGTATGAGATGAATTACTTTTTAAGTTTGAGTCCTTCATTCCACTGGATTGTTTGTCTGTATTCCTCATCTGATTTTTTACTCGGCTTTGCACTACACCGTGCATTACAGAACTATCCATTTATTCAAAAAGCTTAGTACTCTCCATGAATGTACAATGTTTGTATGTTTGTTTTTGTGTGCATACGTGTGCAGTTTGTTTGTTGTTTGCACTCATCCGTACGTCATTTGTACGCTTTTGATCACATGCGGGTTTTTTTTGCTTACCTGTCAAAATTGTGTGTACAGTTGCCTGTACGCCCGTCTGTATGTAATTAACGTGCGTGTGTGTGCATACATATATACATACATACATCCATCATACACATGTATGTATGTTTGTTTGTTCAAAAGCACAATCCAGAATTACAGCATACATACATACATACACACATACATACATACATATATACATACACACACACATACATACATACATACATACACACATGTATACAAACTTGCACACATGCATACATACAAACACACAAGCATACATACATACAAAAACTGGAAGATAGTTGTACGGAAGTCAAGTGGCATGATGTGACGTGATGTCATTATATTGGTATTATTACTGCTGTCATTATAACTCCGGCCGATGTTGTTGTTGTTGTTGATGCTATTGTTGTTGTTGTTGGTGCTATTGTTGTTGTTGTTGTTGCTGTTGTTGATGTTGTTTTTGTTGTTGATGATGTTATTGTTGTTGATTTTGGTGTGTTTACGTGTTCTAGTTGATAATTTTCGTAACTTATTGTAATGTAACTTTACTACTACGAATGTTGTTAGTGTCATTGTTTTTGTTGTTGTAATTGTTGTTGTTGTTGTTTTTGTTGTTGTAAATGATGCTGCTGTTGTGTAATTCTTGCGATAACACTAAAAAACTAAATCATTTGAATTAATCCTTACATATATGTGCAATTTTATTATTCAAAAATTGTTCAGAAAACAAAAACATTAACAATACACACACATACACAGACGCAAACAGACAAACAGACAAGCACACACACACATACACATACACAGACTCAAACAGACAAACAGACAAGCACACACACATGCACATACACAGACGCAAACAGACAAACACACACACACACACATACACACTCGTCCACAAAGTAACCAAAAAGATGAATGCATGTATCGTTGACAAGTTGTTTGTCCAGCGTTTAACATCGGTCCAACAATCAAACATATTATGCTATACAAACAAACATACATACATATATACTTACATACATACAAACATACATACATACATACACACAAATATACATAAATACATACAAAAACATGAAATACATACATACATACATACATGCATATATTCATACGTACACTCACATACATACAAACATACAGGGACGCTTACAAGCGGGCATACTTTGTTATCAACACCATCACAATCATATAATATTCGCTTAGTAATAATTATTATTATAACTTTATTATTATTATTATTATTAATTTCGGACGTGAATGTTATTTATCTTTGGCATTCCATAAATTTGTTGTCTATGTACACTCCTGTTTAATCGGTCGTGTTTTGTTTGTTAGGCTAATGTCAATTTGGGGCTTTGATCATAATTAAGATGGCCGTGACGACCATGATGATGAAGATGACGATGAGGATGAGGATGATAATGATAATGATGATAGAGATGACGATGATGATGATGTAAAGAGGAGTGTATCCATGTATGTGATTCTGCATGGGCAAAGCGCAATATATATATATATATATATATATATATTATATATGTATGTGTGGGTGTGTGTTTGTATGTATGTATTATGTGCGTGTGCGTGTGTGTGTGTGTGTGTGTGTGTGTATGTATGCTTGTATGTGAGTTTGTTTGTTTGTTTGCTTGCTTGTTTGTTTGTGTACATTCCATCACTAGCAAGCATGGAACGATCGACCGAAACATGACAGACGTATCAAACGTCATTAAATCACGACTTGCATGCCTTTGATACAGCAAGTCGTAGAGTTAAATTCTTTTTCTTAACGTGTACAAACATTCATACAAATGTATACACATTCATAAGTATGTGTAAATGTTTGTGTGTGTGTGTGTATATGTGTGTGTGTGTTAGTGTTTGTGTGTGTGTGTATATGTGTGTGCGTGTTAGTGTTTGTGTGTGTATTTTTATATTTACAACGGAATGAAATATAATATTAGGTAAGTTTCTGTGACATGAGTGTTTATAATAAAAACGAATTTTTGTGAAATATTTTTGAAAATAGTTAAATTAGAAAAAAAAATGGTTTTCCATAATTTAGCATCCGGACGGAAACTTAGCAAACATGCATTTAATTTGGAGGTGAATGTGTGGAGAAGAAGCCGTTGCAAGCTTTCTCACACGTTCGTGTGGGGCCTCGTCAGCAAACAATACACACATACATACAAAAACATCGAGAAATGAACAAGTTCTTCTTCACGACTTTATAAAATATGTTTATGTATCTGTGTGTTTGTTTGTTTGTGTGTGTTGTGTGTGTGTGTACGTGTGTTGTGTGTGTGCGTGTGCGTGCGTGTGTGTGTGTGTGTGTGTGTGTGTGAGAGAGAGAGAGAGAGAGAGAGAGTGTGTATGTGCATATTTGAAAGACAAACAGAACAGGTGATTAAAATGAAAAAAAGAAAATAAATTTTAGTGACAACAAATAGAGATAAACAGATGAAATGGTACTCGAGGATTTAAATTGCAATCATTTTCTTTGTTTATAAATAAGTGATAAATAATATAGTATCACCATCTTGAGGATAAGATAATCAGAAATTTCAACGCGTCAATCAAAGTACGCACGTGTGTCTTTAGGTGTATATGTGTGTATATATGTGTGTATGTATGTATCTGTGTGTTTATGTGTGTATGTATGTATCTGTGTGTGTATTTATGTATGTATCTGTGTGTGTATGCGTTATATCTGTTAAGAATAAATATAATATTCATTAATTGTCTTCTTCTATAAATCTTCATTGTTTTGATGAATAAACGAATTGTGAATTGTCACACACACAGAATTATAAGCGTGTGTGTGTGTGTGTGTGTGAGTGTGTGCGCGCGCGCTTGTGTGATCGTGCGTGCGTGTGTGTGTGTATTTATTTAATCAATCACGGTGACACGCGTTATCAGAAATACTTGAATGACAACGATGATGACAAAGATGTTGACGACGATGATGATGAGGATGACGACGACGATGATGAGGATGACGACGATGATGATGAGGATGACGACGACGATGATGAGGATGACGACGATGATGATGAGGATGACGATGATGATGACGATGACGATGGTGATGACGATGATGATGGTGATGATGATGATGATGATGGTGAGGATTATAAATACTGTCATCATCATTTTCACTCACCTTATCATTTTGGTAGGCGGTGACTGCGATGAATTGGGTCTCAGGAAATAGAAATGTGCGAAATGCATGCAGACTCATCTGCATGACGTCATTTGCCCTTACCACGTGAAACCTCGGCTGGTACTTGTGCATGGAGTTTAAGATGGTCTGCATTGTGATTGGTTGGTTGGTTGGTTGGTTGGTGGGTTTGTTGGTTTTGGTTGGTTTTGGTTGATTGATTGGTTGGTTGGTCGGTCGGTCGGTCGGTCGGTTGGTTGGTTGGTTGGTTGGTTGGTTGGTTGGTTTTGGGCGGTTTGTTGGTTTGGTTGGTTGGTTAGTGAGTTGGCTGGTTGATTGATTGATCGCATTATCATTCTTCTCATCATCGTCGTCATCAAATCAATCATCATCATCATCTCAACATCACCATCATCATTATCATCACTAACGAAGCCATGCTTGTCAGATATGTTGTTGGTAAGTTTGAGTTTGTGGAATGAGACAGGCTTGGTCATCCATTGTTCACCTATTATTATTATTATTAACATTATTATTATTATTATTATTATTATTATAATTATTATTATCGTTATTATTATTATTATTATTATTATTCCTGACCATTGGATGGTGAGTCCGGGTGTATGTACATCCGTTTGGGCATCTCGGGATCAGCTTTTCCGGCAACCATCCATTTCGAGTTGTGGAATTTATATCTGGATTAGTCGGTTGGTTGGTTGGTTGGTTAATTGATATGTTGGTTATTTGATTGGTTGGTCGGTTGGTTTATTGATTGGTTGGTTATTTGATTGGTTGGTTAATTGATTGGTTGGTTAATCGGTTGAATAACTAAGATTATATGTTGATTGATTTCAATTATTTTCAAACAATATTAGCAATACAAAAGATATAACAAAACAACAAGACGACAAACCAATCAGACAGCAAACAAATCAGCCAATCAAAAAAATTAATAAATTAATCAGTCAATCAACCAACCAATAACTCAATCAATCAATCAATTAATTAATCAATCAATCAATCAACCAATCAATCACTCAATCGATGAACCTGCAATCATCCAGAGGTGCGATATCCATCAAGAGGATGTACTTGGCTTTCTTGTCCAATCCAGAAACTGTGAGCTTAAACGGCGGGAACATTCGTCTGGTGATAATGATGATGATGAAGATTGTGATGATGATGATGATGATAATGATAATAATAAAAATAATAATAAAGGTAGTGGTTGTAATGACAGTGATGGCGGTGATGATACTAAAATTAGCTTTAGGATTTTTCATATATTGTCATGTCGTTACACTCATTCCATCTCCTATTTTTATCATCTATCCATCCATTCATTTATATATATATATTCATTCACTCATCAATTCATTCGTTCGTTCGTTCATTCATTCATTCATTCATCCAGAGCATAGATATGTGACCAATTGAATGGGCGACATTACAATGATCTATGCTGAATGTTTAACTAATTTAATTGACGTTAATTCATTCAAATATCGCCGAGGTTGTTGTTGTGTTTTTGTGTTGATGTTGTTTTTTGAGGTTGTTGTTGTTGTTACAGTAGATGTTGTTGTTGTTGTTGATGTTACAGTAGATGATGTTGTTGTTGTTGGTGGTGGTGTTACAGTAGATGATGTTGTTGTTGTTGTTGGTGGCGTTTTTGATACTATTGGTAGTATGGTGGTGATGTTGTTGGTGTTGCTGTCACCATGGTCATCATCATCACCATCACCACCACCATCACATCGTTATCATCATCTTCATTTCTTCAAGTCGTTTCTTCTTCCTTGAAATCATAGATGACCGACCTTCTTTCTAGTGAGGGCATGCAAGTTAACGTAAGCAATCCTTATTGTTTGTTTTTAAATGTATGCGTGTACGTGTGTGTGCGTGTGCGTGAGAAAGAGAGAATGTGAGTGTGCATGTGTGTTTGTATGTGTGTGTGTGTATGTTTGTGTGTGTGTGTGAGAGAGAGAGAGAGAGAATGTGAGTGTGCAGGTGTGTTTGTGTGTGTGTGTTTTTTTATATGTTTGTGTGTGTTTTTTTAAAAGACCTCTCTGTGATAGACAAAATGTCTTGTAACAGCAGAACGGAAGGTCAGTCATCATTAAGATAATGTCGTTGTTGTCGCCGGTAGTTAGGATTTTATGACTATTTGACCCGGCGCTCATGTCACTGTTGTGTTGTTGGTGTTGTTGTGGTGGTGTTGTTGTTGTTGTGGTGTTGTTGTTGTTGTTGTTAATGTTGTAATTGCTTACGTCAATGATGTTGGTTTGTATGTTGTTGTTGTTGTTGTGCTGTTGTTGTTGTTGTTAATGTTGTAATTGTTTACGTCGATGGCTTTTATGTTGTTGTTGTTGTTGGCATGTTTTTTTGTTTTGTTACAAATGTTGTTGTTGTTAGGAATAGGAATGCGACGTTATTTCCAACAATATCAATATTTTTATATTATATAATTGATATATTATATAATTTCAAAAAAATAATAACTAATTTGAAAAAATTCAACCGAAATTCATCTCAATTGATTGATTAGTTAATTAATTTAGAAATTAATTAATTTCTCAAATAATCTCAATTATGTATGAAAACCAGAATGTTAATCATCATGAAAATGACAATCACCGCATCACTAAACATTTAATCACTTGTCTCATTTAATCTTATTAATCACCTTCGTCATTAGCATCATCATCGTCGTCGTCATCATCATCGATCTATACTCAGTGATAATTAACATAAACATTATCGCAATTTGTTTTACACGTCTTCAACAGTTAACACGCACACGCACGTACGCACGCACACACACAATTATATACACATATGCACACGGACATAAATACACGCACACGCATTTTTGCACCTAAACACACTCACACAAACACAAGGTTATATGCATGTACGAACACGACTGTCTATCTTAATAGACCAATTAAATGATGACTTATGTCTTTCTGTACACATACGTACGTGTGCGTGTGTGTACGTGTATTTATGTGTGGATGTGTAATTATAGAAATGTGTACATGTACCTGCGTATTTGTGTTTGTGTAAAGGCACGCACATGCTTACGTGAAATGTTTTGTTTTAGTGTAGTTCTTATTGTTTGTTGTAATACTTCTATGTATGTGTTTGTACCTTATGTGTTTGTACGTGTGTGCGTGTGTGCATGTGTACATATGCATGCGTATGCATGTGAGATTGTATGCACGTTGTATACGTATCGGCATCTCTATCTTTGAAGCAGTGAAAAGCGTAACGCAATCAATTGTACGCAACGGTGAACCGTATCGAAACGAGACCAACTGACTAGCCAAATAAAAATACATTGTCCGATTGTATTGTATTCGCTGCTTACAACGGTACAACAACATACAATCGCAAATGTTTGTATGTTTGTATTTTGTATGGGCTACTACTACTTTTACTACTACTACTACAACTTTAACTACTACTACTTCTGCTACTACTTCTAATACTGCTACTACTACTACGACGGCTATTACTTCCACCACCGTTACTAAACACATGACAGCGACAGCGACCACACTGAGTCAATACAAAAATTACTTCCGCCATCACTTTCAACGAGTCCATACTGTCAGAAAAAACACTACTGCTACTCTACTGCTACTATTACTACTACTACTTCTGGCACTGCCACTACTACTACCGTTTTTGTGCTGCTACTACCATTACTACTACTACTACTACTACTACTACTACTATTATTATTACTACTATAACTACAATAGCTACTGCTACTACTACTACTACTACTACTACTATTACTATTACTAGTACTATTATAACTACTACTACCTACTACTACTGCAACTGCTGCTACAACTACTACCAGATAAAAATTGATAAGGCTTTTAAACTCTATAATACTATCACAGCCATACTTTGTAGTAATCGTATTGCTGCTGCTGCAAAATGATATTAAAAATTTCAGAATGGTCGTTTCAGCTTCTTTTACAAGGATTGCCTAATCTTTAGCTCTTAATGGATGTCGTCGTCATGTTATTATGTAGGTATACGTACACATAAGTACACACACACTTGTTGTTGTTGTTTTTGCTGTAGTTGTTGTTGCTGTTGCTGTAGTTGTTGTTGGTGGTGGTGGTGTTGTGGCTGTTGTTTTGCTTTGTTTTGTAGTTGTTGTTTTGTCTTTATTGTTGCTGTAGTTGCGGTTGTTGCTGTAGCTGTTGTTGGTGGCGGTTGTCGCTGTTGTTTTGGAGTAGTAGTAGTTGTTGTTGTTGTTGTAGTTGTTGTTTTTGTATGCTGTTGAATTATGAACTGAACAGATCGTGTTATCGTTTGAATGGCATGTGACACCCACTCAACTGATTTCAATTCAGCTGGTGTTTCAAATTCGAATTTTGATAGTTGACAAATATCATAGATACAATAATGAAGTCATCGCCATCAATATAAGGACATCATCATCAACATGACGACATTGTCCTCAACATCATGGCCTCATCATCAACATCATGACATCATCATCAACATCATGACATCGTCATCAACATCATGACATCGTCATCAACATCAACATCATGACATCATCATCAACATCATGACATCATCATCATCAACATTATGACATAATCATAAACATTATGACGTCATCGTCGTCGTTAGCGTCATCAATAACTGAAATTAAAAATTTCACTCGAACTAACCTCCCAGATTTAGTGATGACCATTTCGGTTCCAATGCTATTGAATTGATTCCAGAGGTCCTTGTGTTCGAGGTGTACCACAGGGCAGTCCCTCATGTCCGCCAGTGGCCCGTGGAAAGAGTCGGAAAAACTGGAGAACGGCGTTCTGTGGGTGGCAGTTAGGTAGCTCTCACGGGGGGCCCTGGAGACCACCGTGTGTTGAAGCTGGGATAGGATGGATGTTTCCCGATGGTGATGTTGGTGCTGGTGTAGTTGCGGAGAGAGAGGTTTGACGTACATACTGTTGTTGCTGTTGTTGTTTGAGTTGTTGTTTGGAATGTTGTTGGAAGCAGTGTTGTTGTTTGTGTTGTTTGGGTTTTGTGGGCCACATGGAATGTAGTTTGGGTTGATGTAAAATGGTTTATTTTGTTGTTGTTGATGTTGTTGTTGTTGCTGCCAGTTTATCGAAAGATTTTTTACGGTGTTTAAATTGAAAGAAAAAGGAGAGTAAATTTGTTGTTGTTTAGCAACATCTGGTTCGATTTGTTGTTGTTGCAGTGGGCTGTTTTTTTGTTGCTGCTGCTGCTCTATTTTTGTATCTTTATTATCGTTGAAGTTGTCGTTGTTGTTGTTGTTGTTTGATAGAATCGATAGAACACTGTAGTCTGAATGACGTTTTGTTGGCTGTGTTTGTTGCTGTTTTTGTTGCTGTAGTTGTTGCTGAAGCTGAAGTTGTTGTTGTTGTTGCAAATTTTTGTTGTCAATTAAATCCATCTTGAAATGTAGGAAACGGTTTATTTTTGCTCTTACTTTGGGCCAAATTAGATAGATAAACACCTATTCTGCAATGTTATTACCATGAATATTATTTTCATCATAAATAAGTGTTGTTATTGATGTTGTTGTTGTAGTTGCTGTCGTAATTGTTGTTGTCGTGTAGTTGTTGTTGTCGTTGTGTTGTTGTTGTTGTGTTGTTATTGTTGTTGTGTTGTTGTTGTCGTCGTCGTCGTAACTTTTGTTAACTGTTGTTGATGTTATTAATAGCAATGTTAGTTAATTATTTCAATTAATTAATTGCCATTTAAATTTTTAATGAATTAATTATTGTCGGACTTTTAGACACTTTAACGATTGTTGTTTATGCTAATAAATTAATAATTAGTTTATAAAATAATCAATCAATCAATCAGCCAATCAACCAACCAATTATTTAATCAACCCATTAATTAATCGACCGAATAAACAACCAATCTATCAATCATTCAACACTTATCTAATAAAATTTAAAAATAATATTTATATTAATAAACGATAACATTCTGATAAACGAACGAACGAACGAACAAACGAACGAACGAACGAACAAATGAACGAACGAACGAACAAATGAACGAACGAACGAACAAACAAACGAACGAACAAGCAAACAGATATAAAAAAATCAACAGATCACCGTGATGATATCAATTTATCAACAAACATTTCTTATCACTTGCTCAGTATAAAACGCTTTAATACCTTTCTTATCTATGGCATTTATAAATACATATACTAATAAACAAACATATGTAGATATATATATATATATATATATATATATATATATATATATATATATACATTTGTTTAGGAAAGTCTGTATATTTGAATCCTATATATATATATAAATATATATATATAGGTATATATATATATGTGTGTGTGTATATATAAGTATATCAAATCATCAAATATATATATATTTATATATAGACATGCATACAAAACGATACATACAAACAAACAAACATGCTTACAAATAAGCCCTCGCGATACAAAACAACGAATATAAATATGCGTAGATACGAATTTCAACACTTTCGCATGGACACTATCTAAGCCAATAGGAGACCGAGTTTTAAAATCTGGGCGTGGTTAAATGTTAAATAGGCGGGGTTTCGCGTTCAATGAAGGTTACTTAATGAAGCGATGTTAAATATTTAGTTTCTTAATTGGTCTACTTGTTGTTCTTTATTGTTGTTCTTTGGCTGTCGCTTTTGCAGTTGTTGTAGTAATAGTGTTAGCTTGAGTAGTAGTAGTAGTAGTAGTAGTAGTAGTAGTAGTAGTAGTAGTAGTAGTAGTAGTAGTAGTAGTAGTAGTAGTAGTAGTAGTAGTAGTAGTAGTAGTAAACAAGTTAACAGCAGCAGCAGTAGTTGTAGTAGCGGCAGTGGCAGTAGTAGCGTAATTGTTTTTGTTGTTGTTGTCGTTGCTATTTGCATCTGCTAGTGACAAAT